CCACCCCTTCGCCACGGCTTTAACCCATTGAGTTCTGCTCCAAACGATTGAGTTCTGGCGGATCTATCATTATTCCCTGGCGCGCTCCCCCTTGCGTCGGCCGGGGTCGGCGGATATAATATATAGACCTGCTGTTTCTTGGTGCAATTCTTAGTGTGTATTGCTCAGAATTCACTTACCCCACTTTATAGTTTTGATGTTTCTTGCTCAGATTGGCATTTTATAGGAAATTGACCCTTTCAATGCACTTTATGAGGCCCAACGTTTTTTTTTTCGAATGCATGTAAAACCATCAGGCCTAACAATGAAGGTGGATTTATATATTATATTATGTATATATAATATATTATATTATTATGTATATATATATGTTATATTTGTCTTTGGATGATTTCAGATGGACAAATCCTTGTTTTAAGCTTCAGGTCATTGGACTGAGCTGGATGTGTTTCCGTGTTGGAGATCCGCCAAAAGGGCGGGTTTTCCGCTTTTTCCACCTGGACATGAGTGTTTGGGGGGAGTTGACCATTTCAACGATGTTCTTTTTTCAAGGGAAATGGTGTGAACTTGTGGTAGGTTAAATGAAAAAAGTCTGATATTTTGGAATGTTGTCATAACTTACCCAGCTCACCATGCTCACTGGGTTTGGTTTTGATTTGGACATTGGATGGATGATGCGGCAAATATGGCCAAATGCAAATGATCATGCTCACTTGACTAGCGTTGTGCTTAGCCAAGTGGAAGTGGATCAAAACGAGCCCGACCAGTCGTAGCGAGTTTGACCTTCCGTCGGTGGATCGACCAAGGTATGATGGCTGAACCCAGCCATTTGGTGGTATATTTCCAGACCTTAGGTCAAATTCTTGCATGATGTTTGCACTGATGTTCTTCCGTTTACAGCCTTCCTTTTCCTTCCGCAGAACAGCTTTGCACCGGACCGCAGGTCGCGATCGTGGGCACCCACGCCTCTTTGGTGATGGGTGACGTCGAGTCGTTTCGGACGTCGGTCCCGAGGATCGGTTGGGTCAGACCGGACGACCGGACTGGTATAGGACCAATCAGTGCCAAGGGGGGGTGGTGCCAGTCTTTCTGGGGCGGCAGTCCTATGGCAGTGCCAGACAGGTCGCGTCTGGGTTATAGACCGTTTTGGTTTGAGGGCATGTCTAAATCTTCTAAGGTACGAACGAAGTCGGGTGCAGAACGAAGTCGGGTGCAGGTATCCCTAGCTACACCCATTGAGGAAGGGACTTGTCCGACTTGTCGACCAAAACATAGAACAAAGATAGGCTCTTCTCCCTGTGGGAGAGCCACTTGACCCCCACATGTTATCGATGGTTTCCGACTCTGCTAAGGGCCATTTTTGCACATGAGGCCGGTCACAAAGGGTCCAAGTTGGGCGATCACCTCGTGAATTTACGAATGAAACGGCAAAACGGCTGTAAAACAGGCTAGCCTACATGCTTTTACTGTGTTATGGGAGTACAAGGCTTTGTACATCACTGGCTCACTGGGAATGAGCTTTAGACTCGTCACATTTTCTTGCACAGGTAGTTTGTTTCACGGTCTCCAACTTCGAACCAACTCTAAGCGCTTTGCCATGCGGTTCACCGCGAAATAAGACGCGCGGTTCGCTGCGCTTGCACCGTCCTGAGGAATGGGATGGTGTGGGATCCACCATCACTCATTTGCTGCAGCTCACCGTGGGCATTCTGGACTTGGATTCTTAGCGTGTGGTCTGTACACGTGTGGTCTGTACACGCCAGTGATGTGCACGCCCTGACGGCACACCTCTTGGGCATGTATACCCCCCTTTTTGAATCTTGAGGGCTGAGGTGGGAGGTGGGAGGTGGGAGGTGGGGTTGGTTTAGAGGGTCCAGTCATACCTCAAAAAATGGGTTCACCCAGACGTGAGGGGTCGAACACGAATCGGAGGGGTTTGGGGTTTGAGGGAACCAAGGGCTGTGAACGGAGCGCTTGGGCATGAAATTGCTCTGAATTTGGTGTTCGGGTGTTTTCATTTGAATTTGTTATAGAATTTCTTTCACATCATATTGTATCCTCCGATTTGGCCAGTCTAAGCCTAAGCCAGCCTAAGCCTGATCCTTTTTCTGGGAAGCATGTAGTTGCCATGGCCCCTCGACTCGAGCCCTGGTGTCTCGATGCCATGCGTCCAGCGTCCAGGAAGACTTGACTGGAATCTCTGCCAAGAGCCCTTCCCTCTTCGTGGCTTCTTGGACTGAAGAGCTGCGACGAGAGGTCTGCAGACACACACCCACATCAGAATATGTCGAGGTAAACCCGTCGAAGTCTGGACCGGTGTGGCATGCAAATGGGAACTGTGCTAATTCGCTGCTTTTTTGGCCAGAAAGGTACGTAGCTTAGAGAGATTCAGGTGAAACGTGCAGAGTGCCGATTCGATGAACCAGCAGTTCCATGTTGGGCTCTGAAAAAAATGGGAGTGGCCGCGGGGTGCCCTGCATCCCTTCACTGGTCCCTTCACTTGCGGAAAAAAGGGTGCAGAAAATCCAAGGGATCGAAGATCCTCAGTTTGGGATGACACGTACGGCACCTGACTGTGACTGGTCTCGATGGTGTTGGGTCTCGACCGACGGTCGAAACGAGAGCGACCGGGCCTCCGGTTGAGCCCTGTGGAGCCCTGATGAGGAGCCGTGAGCTCAGGTGATTGCAGGCTTCTTGCTGCTGGTCTACAGCTTTCTCTTTAACTTGCTGGTCTCGTGTCTTGGCTTCCGTTCGTGGGCTCCTGCCCGATGGTAAGCAGTTTGCATGAGACCGATGGTCTGGATACGCTGCCGCAGGAGGTCGAAATATGAGCGCAGCAGGTGCGATCTGTAAGATGCCCAGATGAGACAAATGGCGCATGGCGCAGTTGTCTCGCCCACATGACTGGTGTTTTTTGGCTTTTGTATCGTCATACTTACATCACCATGGATCGTTTGGGCATGTTTGGGCCATGGTTTAAAGTTTAAGGATGTCCTTCCATTCACTCTGAACAAACATTTGAAAAACATAAGATGCCATGTCAATGACTGTCGAAGCTTCATTTGCACAGACCCTGCACCTGCTCCACCCCAGACACAAACTCTCGCAAGGTGAAACAAAAACATGGCCCGGACGATGATACATATTCTTATTCACCACCAAACACCACTATAAAGGCGATAGTTGCTTACATCTGTGCATCATTTGGGATTGGGGAACTTGGCGCTTGTCACGATCTTTCGCGCCTTTCTTCAAGCTTGTGACTGTCGTTGACTCATCCGGAAGGTGCGTCGTGATCGGTGCTTTTGGACAACCGGGTTTGCTTCATTTGACATGCCATTGGTCCATCGATGTGTAGAATGCACGTCAAAAAAACATATGTCTATTGAGTGGTGGTGCTGTGCTTTCTTCACACGAGTGGTGGTGCATGGACATCCTAGAGACATCGACATCCAGGCAAAAGCACCAGGGTTCGTGGAAACCATACCTGGAACATCCTGTGGTTCCCACAATCACGCTCATTGAGCAAATCATAGAGCCACCTCAAGAAAATTGCAACCACTGCCCCCTTAGAGCTTTGAAAGTTGCAAATTCATCTGACTTCCAATTGAGTTTTGCTTTGGTGATCTTGAATTTGCGTGGGAGCAACTCTTTGTTCCTGGAGGCCCA